TGAGACACCATGAGCCATGGATCTATACTCAGCCTCTGCACTTGACCTTGCCACAACTGCTTGCTTCTTACTCTTCCAGGAGATCAAGTTTCCACCTACAAAGGTACACACTCCTGATGTAGACCTCCTGTCATCTAAGCATCATGCCTAGTCTACATCTGTATAGGATTCTAGCTTCAAATTCTCATGATTTGAGAAAAGAATGCCTCCGCCAGGGTGCTTTTTCAGATATGCAAGTATTCTCTCAATAGCTTCCCAGTGCTGAACCCGAGGTGCATGCATATACTGACTCACAACACTGACAGCATAAGAAATATATGGTCGTGTCATACACAAATACAGCAATCGGCCCACCATTCTTTGATATTTCCCCACATCCTTTACCAATTCACCATCCACACCATTAATTCTATGATTTGGATCAATAAAGGTGTCTGTTGGTTTGGTCCCCAACTTCCCAGTCTCTCGCAGTAGGTCAAGTACATACTTTCTCTGTTAAATGAAGATCCCATGCTTGAATCTTGCAACTTCAATCCCTAAGAAGTATTTGAGCTCACCAAGATCTTTGATCTCAAATTCTTGATGCAATGATTTTTTGAGATCATCAATCTCCTCCAAATCATTTCCTGTCACCACTATATCATCCACATACACAATCAGAATTGACACCAAAGCATCTCTCCTCTTCACAAAGAGGGTGTGATCAAACTGTGTTTGTGTGTATCCAAAACGGATGAGTGCCCCTCTGAACCTATCAAACCAAGCCCTAGGTGACTGTTTCAGTCTATACAAAGATTTTTTGAATCTGCACACCTTTCCTTTACCAACATTTTCATAAAAACCTAATGGAATGTCCATATATACCCCCTCCTGTAAATCACCATCGAGGAAAGCATTCTTTTACATCAAACTAGAGATAAAAGGATACGAACTAAACTCATCTTAGCTACTGGTGCAAAGGTTTCTAGATAATCAACACCTAGGTTTGAGCATACCCTTTTGCTACCAACCTTGCCTTCTACCTCTCTATCTTTCCATCGGCCTTATACTTCACTATGAATATCGACATCCAACTGCCTCCTTGTCTAGGGGGAGATCAACTATTTCCCAAGTTTGGTTTTTGACCAAAGTATCCATCTCATCTTGTATAGTTGTTTTCCACTCAGGTTTGGAGAGAGCCACAATAACATTCCTGGATATAGACACAGAATCCAGGGAAGAAAGAAAAACATGGTAGGAGGGTGATAAGGCACTGTAGGAAAAATGGTGTGAAATGAAGTGGGTTGTACACTTTCTCTTCCCCTTACGAAGTGCAATAGAAAGATCAAAGTCAATGGGATCAGCTGCAACAATGGTGTTAGGGACAAAAACATTATCATCAGAAAACATAACAGGCTCAGGCTCAAGAGGAATACCTGGAACTGTATCTGCCGAATCTAGAGTTTCAGAAGGACTAACAGAGAGTGGTGTGGGTTGAGGATGTGTGGAGCCAACCATCATCTGTCGGCACTAATATTGCTGTGAGGCTGCCCGTAGTGGCTCAGGTAATGAAACTGGAGGTGCAGGTGCTGGCGGAACTGATGTTGGTTGAACTGATGGTGCATGTGGTGCTGAACTGATGTAGATGCTGGTTGAAGTGATGGAGGCACCACAGAAACAGGAAGAGGAACAGATTGTGAGTTCTTCTCCCCAAAACTCTCTCCCTGAGGAGAACCACTCGAGAAGAAAAATGTGGATTCAAAAAAGGTAACATCCATAGTGACAAATTTACTCATCGACACTAGGTCATAACAGCAATACCCCTTTTGGTTATGAGCATACCCAATCAAAACACATTTCTTGGCCTTAGGATCCAATTTCTTGCGATGAGGGCCAAGAATGTGAACAAAAGAAACACAACCAAAAACCCTCAGAGGTATATGAAATATCTCTCCATCTAGAAAAAGAAGGCTACATGGCACCTTAAACTCCAAAGTCTAGGAAGGAACGCGGTTAATCACATGTATGGCTATAAGAATTCCATCTCCCCAAAACTGAACAGAAACTGAAGCACACACCATAAGATTCCTTGCCACCTCCACAATGTGTTTATTTTTCCTCTCAGCAACTCCATTCTGTTGTCGTGTATATGCACAACTGCTCTGATGAACTACACCATGTTCTAAGAGATACGTGGTTAGGTCCTTCTCAAAGTACTCTCTGGCATTATCTGATCTAAAAGCCTTAGTTCTCACTCCAAATTGTGTGAGAACCATCTGGTGAAATTGTCGTACTAAGTTAAGAACCTCATCACGTGATCTCATCAAATATATCCAAGAATATCGTGTATAATTATCCACAAACAAAAGAAAATAACGGAATCCTCCCATGGAAGGGATTTGATATGGCCCCCATACATCAGTGTGAACAATATTAAAAGCAAAAGTACTTATTTTATTACTTGGTTTAAAAGACTGTCTACAACGCTTTCCTAACTGACAACTCTCATACTCCAAAGTAGATAATTGAACAGACTCAAACAACTTTGGAAAAAGACATTTCAAAAAATTAAAAGAAAGATGTCCCATGCGATTGTGCCAAAGCATAATCTGGTTCACTGACTCTGACCCACTACTACTGCTGCTACTAACATGATGGCCCTGATGTCTCGGAATCTCATCTAGAAGTGGACTCCATTCACCTCACGACCACTCACAATCATCTTCTTTAACTCCAGATCCTACAAAACACAATTACCAGGAAGAAAGGTCACAAAACAATTCAATTTTTTTGTCAAAGAACTAACAGGCAGTAGGTTGGTATGAAGTCTAGGGACATGTAAAACAGAAGATAGATTTATATCATTGGTCACTCTAACTTTCCCCTTCCCAGCAATGGGCATATGTGAACCATCTGCTGTAGAGACTCTGTCTCTACCAGAGCACAACTGATAGGAACTGAAAATGGTAGGGGCATTAGTCATATGCTCAAATTCTCCCGAGTCTATAATCCAGGGAGGTCCCTCCTTACCTGAAGTGGATGCAAGATTTGCAGTTGCATATGAACTACCTATATGTGCAAAGGAAGTGGTGTAGTTGGCTCCTGCATTCTGTTGTCCATCTGGAAGGCTAGAGCTGGGTGAAACTTTCTTACTCATAAACTGTCCAAACCTCTCCAATTCTGTTCTCACTACTACTACTGCAATGGATTCCCAATCAGTTTGGGAGAAAAAGGCTGAAGAGTCTCCTGTAGTGGCTACATTTCCCTTCTTGTTTCTTATCCGAGCAGGCATAAGATTTGGATGAAACTTCCAACAAGTGTTCCTGGTATGCTTAGGCTTCTTGCAATAATCACACACCAAATCCTTTTTATCTTCCCTTCTAGTCTCACTACTCTCACTGCTTCCATTTGGCTTAGGTTTTGTTGTACCAACCATAGCCGACTGGTCAATCCCAAGCTATCTCAGCATTACATTCCTCCTACTCTTTTCTCCAGAGACAAAAGCATAGGCCTGAGAGAGTGTCACACCCTCCCTAGAAAGAATATGCTGCCTAGCAATGTCAAATTCAAGGTTCAACCCTGCCAAGATCTCAAAAACCCTATTCCTCTCTACCAATTTGTGATAAATTGCTGCATCATTTACACTTTCCCATACCACAGTTTCTAAGTGATTTATTTCCTGTCATAGGGTTTTCAGCATGGAGAAATACACAGCAAGAGGTTTTTCTCCCTGTTTTATACTTATATAGGCTCTGGCTTCATTTTGCTTCTGAGAGTAGGTTTCAGTCTCTCCATCCCAAATCTCCTTAGCAGTATTAGACCATAAGAAATTTTTTACAATATGAGGTAACATAGAATTACACAGCCAGGAGATTACCATGTAATTCTCTTACACCCATCGAGAAGAGTCTGTATCAGGTTTCTTCTCCTCCCCAGTGAAATACCCTAATTTTCCACGGGCACCAATAGCCATCTTAGCTGATTGTACCCACTCCAAATAATTTGCACCATCAAGTTTTACTAGAGTAATGATCCTAGACCCAAAAATATCACTACTACCTCCAACACCCAGTCCCACAGTACCGGTAGATTTCATCTCGATATTCCAACTCTCCAATTTACTTCAAACAGTTCAACAGTAAGAAAAAAATAGATTGGAGACCTTCAAAAAATATTTAATATCACAGACACAGAAACCAACCCTTTTAGAAGAAGAAAACCCTAGTTGGAGGGAAATCTCTCTCCTCACGCCTCCCAACAGAGAAAAAAGTTAATCGATCACTCCGGAAGGCCTAGAAATTTTCATAAACCAAACCGCCCTCTTTAGGACATCAAAAGAAAACTAACAATACCCGGGCGCCCAAGATCAGATCAAAAACAAAGAGTCCAACTTTTCTGGGACTATTCCCCGTACTCCAGTTCTTCTTGATTTTGATGTCGAACAGTAGGTCACCTTCCTGATGTCTAGATCCCACCAAAAACTCCAAGAACTCAGCAATTTATAGCAGATCGATCAGCCCTTTACTACATGTGGTCGGCTGATCTAGGGATGCATGAGAATGCTTCAAGAAACTCTAGTCGATGCTCTAATACCAAGTAGGAATCTGCTGAATTAAAAAATAATGAAAGAAAGTAGTTTCTTGAAGAGAGAAGGAGAAGAAGATAAGTTGAAAAGAAAAGAGAGCAATAATCTAGCCGCCCCCTTCACTTATTATTTATACTAAAATAATAGAACAGTACAAAGACAACTATGCCCTTATATGGCAGCAAAACATAAAACAGCATATATAACACTCAAAAATATAATAAAATTTGGACTCACAAAACTACTGTGGTCCCCACCTCCTATCTAACAACTAACATAAAACATCTACTCAGAAAAACATCATAAAACTAATTAATCTTCAACACTTTATACTCTGGCCCTGTGGAGCAAGGTGATGTGGCAAGATCAAAGATTTTGGTTGCAGTTTTTGGGTTGAGAAGGCAAAGGAACAGGGTATTAGTAGGCTGATTATTGAGGGAGACTCTAAAACTGTGGTTAAGTGGTTGATTAAAGGGGAGGGGTGGCATGGCATTTGAAGAATGATTTCAGAAAATTCAAATGGCTGTCATAAGATGACAGGATATGTTAATCCAAGTGAAATGGGTGAGGAGGACTGTTAATACCTTGGCAGACAGCTTAGCCAAGCAAGGGGTACATAGAACACATATGTTTTGGTCTCAAATGTAGTACTGAACTGAGAYAGCTTCTATAGCTGGTTCATTTCACAACCTCTTGTTGTATTGTAATCATGTTTCTCTCATAATTAATGAAATATTTTCTGTGTTGCTGATAAAAAAAATGAGCAAGATAGATAACCGAGTTTATAGGCTAGATGGTTATGGCCAGGACTAAGTTAAAGTAGAAGATTGTGAGTCTGAGTCTGGACAATAAACAAGCTTAAGCTGGGCCTAACTGCAAGCACGTTGCTCAAGCTCGGCTCGCCAAATAACGTTAGTATGCAACTATGCATATAAAATAACTCGGATTGGAGTGAAATTCAAGGAGCATAATGCGTGAAAGTTCTTCATGTTGGGTATCACTCCCAACCTCAAGAAATGGTTCCTCGTATAGAAAAGAGGCGTTCCTCTTTCGACAATCCAAGAAGAACAACTTAAGTTGTTTGCAAATTGTAAGATTAGAATATTTAATTGTCGGTAATTCCTTCAAGCTCCCATGCCTTTTATCGTTGATGACCTTTTTTTCGCCAAAGAAATCTAGTCGAGAACTCGAGATAATTCGTAATACGAACATGATAAGATAGAAATTCTCTTGTGTAACAGCATTCACAAAATCCAAATGAATGAAGTCACCGAGTACATAAAATCAGGAAGACGACCTCAACCAATTAAAATAGCATCATTGGCTCTTACAGAACAACAAGGTATAACAAAATATGCGAAGAAAATTTACTCCGAGCGAAAAATAGAACTTGTTGAAAAACCGAAGCTCCGCCGAATCGAACCCCGTGATAGGCAGGTGATGCATTGGACGCCGAAGAAAGCAAATGCTAGAAAAAACAACGAAATGGAGATAACGTGAGTGCAATAATCGGTAGTGGAGAAACAATATGGCGTAAACGAATGGACATCGAAGTTTTGAACATTTACCCGTCGAGCCCGGAAGAGGGATTTCTGGCCAAAACCTAACCGATTGAATCTGCCCATTCTGCAGCCTATTCAACACTGTAGATCTCAACCGGGATTCCTCTGCGACAGTGATCGGAAACCAAGGAAGGGTCTATCGACCCGGGAAAAAAAATGGTTCGGAGCTCCCAGGAGTCGAGTGTCTCTCTACCAAAACATAAACTGTGATGCGCAAGAAATGAGAGGAACATTCCATCAGCTATCGATCTATCATCGGAAGGGGCGCGCAATGGACAAGAAGCCTTGGACGGAACGGGCTGGACCGGGCCGATGGCAGTTTTTTGGATAGTGGATATAGGAAAATAGATACCAAATAGAGGAATAGGGCAATGGGCTAGGGCCTAAAATTTTTGGGCCTCCAGCCCTATTCTTTTTTCTTTTTTTTTTTTGGTTGGTTAATGGGCTAGGCCAATTCTATTACTCTTGCCAAACATTCAAACACTTTTGAGCAATTCTATCGGTGTTAATAATGAAAATCAAAATGTTTGATATAATGGTTCATAATTTGGGTAGTGTTGTGTATATTCAAAAAATGTGTAGGAATTTAATATGATTTACCCAATTGAATTCTAAGCACTATAAGGTCTTTGCTATAGGTGGAGTCATGAAAATTACACGCATTGATGATATGGTTCTGATGAATGAAGAGAAATGCAAATGATTATATCATCTAATTAGGAGTACAATGGTTCCTAAGACCTCGATTGAACGCTATAAATGGAATGCATAAGGTGATGTAGCCATACAGAGATGATGGTTAGAGGAATGTTCCTGTAGGAGGAAAAGAATGATTGAGGTCCCTCTCTCTAGGGCTAACTAGTACTATTAGCTTAGGCGCAATTACACAAGTGCATTGGCCATTTTGTTTGAATCATGTAGAGTAAGGACTTGAGTGGTTCAGGTTATGTTATCTAGTGGTGTTTTACAAGGCCAGTAAAGGTTTGTGATATTTGCGAATAGATGAAGGCTCAAATGGTATATCTCCAAGGTGGTTGAAAAATAAGTTAACGTAAAGATTTTTGGGGTTGTGTCTTATTTTTCCACAATTGGATTATTTTTAATCTAACATTTGATGTGCTCTTTCCTTAAGTTAAAGAGGGTTTTACATATAAAAGTTTTTGTTTGTATGCAGAGTTTAGACAAGTGAAAAAAAAAAAATTGTTCTTTTTATTCTTAGAGAGGAAAAAGGAGAGGAAGAGATAAAGAGGGTGCTCTTAATGTAAGAGTGGGGTTTTGTATTATTTTTGTTATTTAAGTTAAGAGAGGAAAAGGAAGAACGGATGTACAAGGGTTGAGGGTTAATTTGAGTTGCAAAATACTACTTATATTGTTTCTATTTTTTTTCATAGTAAAGAACAAGTTTTGTCTCTCCCATAAACATAGACGGCCAAGCCGAACCACATAAATCCTTTGTATTCTTGGTGGTGCTTGTTTTTAGTTGTCTTTACTTGGACTTCATTATTTTGTTACTATTAGATTTTTTCTTAATTGATATTTCAAATACTTTGGGTTTTATCCTGTGAGTGAATGTTGTAAGGCCCCAACAATTCTTTGGTGTTTTACTACTTATGGAAGATATTATAGAGAGATAACATAAAAAATAACTAGAACAAAAAGGCTTTTCATCTCTTACTTTCTTTATACTATTTTTTTAAAGAGGGAATGCTCTGTTTTTCACAATGGATGTCAAAGCCATGCCATYCCATATTATCATTTAAAAATTTTCAAAACATCGAAGCCGTGGCATATTATCCACTTGTAAAAGGATTGTTCCTTCAATTCTTTTAAGAAAAAGTTTTCTTGGAAAGTAATATTCAATTGGGCCTTATATTGATCAAAACATGGAGCGCATGATAAATCATCTTTTGGCATAAAAATCCTTATATAACATGTGTAGACTAACCACTTACCCAAAAAATAAAAAAAAAAAGAAAGAAAGAAAATTTATGCCTACTAAATCAAAACCAAAGAAAACAACTTATTCATATCTAGAAAGCAATCAAAAACCAATGTTGGGTGACAAATTAGAACTAAAACCATTGAAGAATTTCTCACACACACACATAAAAACAAAAAAAGAGACACTTGTAATTACTACTAGGCAAGTTAACAAAATGAGACACTTGTTTAAAACTCATGTTGAGACCAAGGACTCTGGTGATATAAGGCATGTGAGAATTTTAGGAAAAAAAATGACTATTGATGGATAGAAATCCTTAGATTACATTCTTATTAGGAAGATGACAAAGCGAAAACAAATTTCAAATTATAGAAACTATGTGGATTGTGGAACATGGTTTTAAATAGTTGATAAAAAATGATCATAAAACTAGAGATTCAATAATGTATTTTGTTTTAGTTTTGGAAAAGAAAAATGCATGTCTAATCAAGAACATGTTTACTATGTGTTAGCACCTGATTTTTGCTCGGTCCGTCGCTTGAACCCCCAATTCACCCCAAATTCCTGATCAGACCCTTATGATCCTTCTAAAACACCTAAAAACCCAAGAACCCGAATTTCAGTCCAAAATCCCTAAAATCCACGGATAAATCTACCTGATACCTAGGGTTAACCCAACCATGGGGTATTTTTTTAAACCGGACTGACCTATTTGGTTTTTTAAATATTCAAACAGAAATCGAACCGACGCAATCAGTTAATCGGTTAAACCGTGGTTTGGTTTTTTGTGCACTTAAAATATATAAAAAAAAACTAATATTGTCAATGGTTGTCGTGCCGAATTGGTTGGTGCCGGTGGTTGCTGGTGGAGGCGTGGAAAGGAGAGGTGAGAGAGAGAGAGAGAAAGAGAAGGATCCCAGATGCTTCAAAACCACTGCCCACCGATAGTCGATAGATGCTTCAAGCCTTCAACACTACCAACGACACTGAATGGCGTTGGTGCCTGCTTGCCGGTGAGGCAGTGATTGGCGTTGCCGCTTGGTGCTAGTGGTTGGCGTGGGCCATGCGATAGTCTGAGAATAGAACGGAGATACTAGAGAGACTGAGAAAGTGAGAAGATAAGGGAGAGACTAGAGAGACTTGGAAGAGATAGAGAGTGAGAGAAGCTGGTAAGAGAAAAAGGGCTTGACTCTTGAGTCATTCCAAGTTTCGAAGAGAGTCTAGCAGTGGCAGTCTGGCACTCTGGCAGACTGCCAAACCTTTTTGAAAAATAAAAAATATAATATAATATTATATATATATATATAGATCAGTTCGGTTAACAGCTGGTTTTTTAAATGGTTAACCGAAACCTAACCAAAACTGTCATTTTTTGAAGAATATCGAACCGAAACCGAACTGATTGGTTCGAGTAATCGATTTTTCAGTTCGGTTTTTTGATTTTTTTCTCACCCCTACCGAAACCAATCCGATGGCCCCTGGTCAACCCCCATTTACACCTCAATCATTAGATCATACACCACCATCAAACTAAAGACCTTCGAAAATACCAACCCAGCAAATCTCAACTCAAAATTCCTCTATTTACCCTCTCATCAAACAAAGATTCCATTTTGGCTCTTATTGTTAAACTAAAACACCCACAACCTAGATCCCTTTGATTCAAACACATATGAGCCAATAAGACCATACGATTGAGCCCTAGACACACCAAAACACATGCCTATAAAGTTTCAATCCAAGATTCCCCCGTTTACCCTTCCATCAAACAATATTTCATTTTAAATCCTTCCATCAAAACAATATTTCATTTTAAATAGTTGATAAAAAATCATCATAAAACTAGAGATTCAATAATGTATTTTGTTTTAGTTTTGGAAAAGAAAAATGCATGTCTAATCAAGAACATGTTTAGTATGTGTTAGCACCCGCTTTTTCCTCGGTTCGTCGTTTAAACCCCCAATTCACCCCAAATTCCTTATCAGACCCTTATGATCCTTCTAAAACACCTAAAAACCCAAGAACCTGAATTTCAGCCCAAAATCCATAAAATTCACGGATAAATCTACCCGATACCTAGGGTTAACCCAACCATGGGGTATTTTTTCAAACCGAACTAACCTAGTTGGTTTTTTAAATATTCAAATTGAAATCGAACCAATGCAATCAGTTAATCGGTTAACTGCGGCTTAGTTTTTTATGCACTTAAAGTATAAAAAAAAGCTAATATTGTCAATTTGTCATCGTCTCAAATTGGTTGGTGTCGATGGTTGCTGGCAAAGTCGCAGAGAGGAGAGGTGAGAGAGAGAGAGAGAGAGAGAAAGAAAAGGATCCTAGATGCTTCAAAACCACTATCCACCGGTAGTCGACAGATGCTTCATGCCTTCAACACTACCAATGACACTGAATGGTGTTGGTGCCTGCTTGCCGGTGAGGCGGTGATTGGCATTGCCGCTTGGTGCTGGTGGTTGGTGTGGGCCGTGCGACAGTATGAGAAAAGAACGAAGAGACTAGAGGGACTGAGAAAGTGAGAAGAGAAGGAAGAGACTAGAGAGACTTAGAAGAGACAGAGAGTGAGAGAAGGAAATAAGAGAAAAAAGGCTTGACTCTTGAGTCGTTCCGAGTTTCGAAGAGAGTCTGGTAGTGGCAGATTGAGAGTTTCAAAGAGAGTGAGACTGGCAATGGCACTCTGGCAGACTACCAAACCTTTTTGAAAAATAAAAAATATAATATAATATATATACATATAATATTATATATATATATCAATCGGTTCGGTTAACTGTCGTTTTTTAAGAATATCGAACCGAAACCGAACTGATTGGTTCGGTTTTTTGATTTTTTTCTCACTCCTACCGATACCAATCCGATGGCCCCTGGTCAACCCCCATTTACACCTCACTCATTAGATCATACACTACCATCAAACTAAAGACCTTTGAAAATACCTACCTAGCAAATCTCAAGTCAAAATTCCTCTGTTTACCCTCTCATCAAACAAAGATTTCATTTTGGCCCTTATCGTTAGCCTAAAACACCCACAACCCAGATCCCTTTGATTCAAACACATATGAGCCAATAAGACCATACAGTTGACCCCTAGACACACCAAAACACATGCCTATAAAGTTTTAATCCAAGATTCCCCCGTTTACCCTTCCATCAAAACAATATTTCATTTTAAATCCTCCCATTGATCCAAATGCCTACCCCGCCCTAAAAATACCTACCTATAAAATTTCAGCCCMAAACACCCTTGTTTACCCCTCTATCGCGACAAGATTTAATTTCAAAGCTCTAGATTAATCGGATCGAGCCCTTTCTAGATCTGCCCAA